AGATCATTATGAAGAATTTTGACACCCCATATGCAAGGTACCTCCAGTAAGTTACATAGGAGACGGAACCAGTGAGGCGATCTTCTTCCTCCATTTCCAAACATAAGGAGTTATCATTATTACTCATCAGAGCTCCGTATGGCATCAGATTACTAGAAAAGCCTCCTTCGTTTGCTTTATTAAAGGATGCTGTTGCAGAAAACTCAGAGGATTCCTCCAATTCACAAAGTTCTTTATATGTACCTTTGGTCAACTTGCTTTCCTTGTCCATCAAGAGAACCAGATCTGTCTTTGCAAGGAAATAAGCTTGATGGGTAATCATCAGCCGGATACGATCAGACAAAGCGCCACAGATACATCGCTGGAAAATTTCTTTTGAAACTTTCACGTCAACAGAGCTAAGAGGATCATCAAGAAGATAAATGTCGGCATCAGAATACACTGCGCGTGCCAAGTTTAGTCGTGCACGCTGACCGCCACTCAAACTTACCCCGCGTTCTCCGACATAAGTCAGATCACCACAGGCAAGATACTTCAGATCTTCCTTCAGCGAACATGCGTCGACAGCTTTTTCAAATTTATCGTGGTTGAACTCCCTGCCAAAAATCATGTTTTCGCGGATTGTTCCCGAAAACACCCACGGTGTCTGGCAGACGTAAGCAATTTTTCCATGGTGGGTAATTTGACCTGATGGTATTTCTCCGAGGATAAAGTCAAATAATGTTGATTTCCCGCAACCCACTGGGCCTGTGATTCCGATTAACTGAAAGTCGGAAATGCATACACTTAAATTGAAAGAGTCGTCCCATGGACGGAGTTTCACTGCGTTTAAACAAAGGAACGGTTTGCCTTTATTACAAACGTGATTCGTCAGAAAAGCTGGTTCCACCGCTGAAAACAGATATTCGTTCATTTGCGTTTTGCCCTTAAGACTTGCGTCAAAACTCTGGGAATAGTCTTTTGATTGAGATGGATTCCATTTTTGTGTGGAAGATAACGACTCATCGCAGTCAACGTCCAGAAGAAACGACTCTACTCGTTCAAGTGTCGTAGATGCTTGAAAAAGAGCGCGAAACTCATACGAAAACAGAACAGTCACTGGTTTTTGGAGTGCACCCAGGAGGGCCAAAGTAGTGAAGACATTTTGAGCTGTAAGGTGATTCCCAGCCATGAGAAACGGAAACAAAGAAACAAAACTGGACACTATTGGGTAACAGGAATACGCTGAGAGGTAACCAGCTAAAATGACTCCTTTCTTGTACACAACACTGAGCTCTAAGCTTTATGGAATAGAATATGATGATAGTGGTTAGCACCTTCACAAAAAAGTTGGAGTTAAGGGGCGGCTTGCAAACTGCTCTGTATCACTCATTAGATAATGAGACAACAAAGGATGTAAGGCTTTTTCGATATTCCTTTTGGCTCCCGAGAAAATCTTTTTTAAAGTTGGACAATAGAAAAAAACTTCAGTTGTTGTCACGCGCCTTGAAGTCATAGAAAAAATATTTAGAATTTCGTAGAAGCCTCACAACCATTGTGTATTAATGACTGAAGAGTAATGAATTTTCATCAGAATCCGACAAAACTACATCCCCTATTAATTTGTATAACCGGAGGTAACTCGCATAAAAACGAACCGCAGTTTTCGGACTACAAAGAAACAAATTTTGCGGCGTTTTGGTAACTGAGTTTTCTTTCGGGACTTACGTCGTTTTAGGAATGGAGGACTGTACCTAAAATCAACAAAAACTGATACCGCAAAAATTTCCTGTCGTGGTCAGCAAATCTGAGAACATAAAGGGGCAAAATTAATTTACAGTATTTACTGTTTTTCTAGCTCTGATAATTATATATTATATAATTGATTTTCTTTCCCTTTCGAAAATAATGTTATCTACATATTTATTGTTATCAGCGTATATAAACTATAAATTGATGTTTACTGGCAAACGCATACCTCCTAACTTCGGAGACCAAATCATAATAGCACCATTCCCAAACATTCATTTTTAGCACACGTATACCGGAAATGACGTCATATATCAGACGCATTCTCTTATCCGTCAGCTTGGCGGCCTTTACCTGAAGTCTTTTGAAAACGCTTCCCAAAGTTGTTTGAAAGACGATGAGAACTATTGAAAGGACCGCGCCTCCAAATGTTTGCCAGCCGACAAACTTCCACAGAAAAGAGAAAACGATAAGTACCTCCAAGGGTGCAGATAGCGATCTAAGGTTAGAAAAAGCTTGATGGATTGGGACCATGTCGTTAGAAATCAAGTTTATCAAATACCCTGAAGTTCTTTCAGCTAGAATACGATGGCGTGTGTTCAGAATCTGCAAGAAAAAGACAAGCAAGACGAGAGATAATTTATGATAAGGTAGATGTGGTTCAACTGGATTATTCATACATTTTCAAGAGATTTCTTGTTTCAAAAATCTTAAGAGTAGGGCTGAATACAGAGCTGGAGTTACAACAAGGAGGAAGGAGTGACCAGAAATGATAAAGAAAAGTGTTCTTGGGTTACTAGGAAAAGGTCTCTGAGGTAACACAACAAAAATGTGGATGAAAGTTGGTCACTTGCAACAAAATGAAATTAATCTTAATCTCCACATTTGTAAAAGACGTTTACTTGTTTGTCTCAGAGTAATCGTTTGTCTAATAGTTTTCTATGTGGATCGCGACGTCTCTACTACGGTCCGTTTTCCGTTTTTTATTGCGAACCAAAACATGAAGAGCTACGCCCTAAAAGGAACGGATCGAAGAGGATACAACGGAGACGTCCATCGTTTCAGAACATGCGCACAACATCGAAAACTCACCTGGCTGTGCTGAAGAATTTCAGCCAATCATGAGTGAGAAAAGTTCATAACATGACGCATGTACCAAGTAGATGTTGTCGCTTTAGAGACTCATAGTATGTAGTCAAAACATCGCGATCCGCATGTGACAAACGATTAAACCGCATACACAAAGTAATTACCACGATGGCGAACCGTAGCCCCAACTTTTTTTGATATTATTTTCGGCATTCATCTTCTGCGTATTTTTTGACCCCAAATCCAGACTTTACTCCCCATACCATTACATCTTACCTTATCAGGTGAGAGATGCAACATGTATTCAAAATTTCTGTGCTGGTTAAGCCTAACTTATCTTATTATCCAAGTGTGCTTCGTAGAGTACAAATAACGCGCAAGACGTGTACAAATATCACGCGATATTTCTACTCCAGGAATATCCGCGAGATTCGCTCGCACGGAAGCAACAATTTGTCCTGTTGGATAATTACTCTCTTATTAAACATTTTGTTGTGTAGTATCGCTGAGTATTTTTAATGTCTGTATTTTGACGAGCCCGTAGGGCGAGTCAAAATACGTCACAACTCGTAAAAATACTCAGCTATACTACATAACAAAACCTTTAAAAAGATATATATATATCATTAAGCAGCGAAAAATCGTTATCCACCTACCTTCTTGTAAACTATACCAGTCAAGGAAGCTTTAACGTGAACCGCCATTAGAAACATGGCATAACTACCTTGCTGAGTAACAATCGTTTGAATAAAACAGCTCACACAAAGAAGTGTTGAATAAACAAGCAACATTTCCACATTGATTGGGGAATTAGAGGACATCTCGGTCAGGAGAAAGCTCAGTAGAACAGGTTGAATCATCGTGCAAAATATCTCTAAATTTGTTAGTAGTACAATCAGAGCCATTAAGTATTTGTCGACGGCTCGTATGAATGCATTTCTCAAACGAGGTTCAGAACTTTGGACTCTTCCAATTTCGATTTCTTTTTGCCATTCTAATTCCAGTTTTTCAGTCAAAGACTTGGTGCTTTCAACATCTAAGGAAGGAATATCGTTCCCTTCTAGAGGTCGCTTATTTCCTGTTTCGATAACACTCGATAAAAAGCCAAACGTAAGTCTACTACAGATTGTGGGTCCTTCTTCAGATTGCGTTCCCAGCTTTTCGTACTCCATATATGGATTGTGTCGTGTTTAGTGTCAAGTTCACTTCTGGCTGCTTTGTTTTGTCGGGTTTGATGTTGCTGGTAATGATATTATTGATATCTTTGCTGTAGTTGTTTACGAAGTTACCTTTTGTGACAACCTGAAAATGAAAAGATCTATTACTTATCAAACTGTTCGCACGCTCCCTCTTTCCAAAACAAGGGCGCATTTCGGAAAAGGCTGAACGGTTCAGGATTACAACTTGAAGTCAGTTCTAGTTTAGGGAGTAATATTTTGAATCAAGAGAGAATGCCTTTTCCTTCCCTTTTTGAACTTAGTACAGGTGGAGAGTCGTTTCCTCAAACCGCGAATAAATCAAACCACTCAAGATTTTAGCTTCCAATTGCTTTAACATTTTAACTTTTCCCGAGACAATATAAAAATTTTCTCGGGAAAGTTACCATTTACTATTTGCGTAGAAATCAGCTTTTGTAGTACCATAGGATTTTGTTATGAAGTAGGTTGACAAGGCCATCTTTTAATTCACACCCTAATAAGGATATGTCTGTGCAGGACTATTTGGCTAATGATTCGAGGAGGAAAGGTTAATCGGCCAAGTCGAATGGGGTTGTTACTTTGCTGCGCTCCTGAAACATTTCCTCATTATTCAATGCGAAAACTTTTTGGAAGTCGAAAAACATTATAAATGTATAACAGGGACGCGAATCTACTGGAGCTAACGCTGATTTATCAATGTATGTCGCCAGAATAAATTAGGTCGTCGTCTATTGGTCATAATTAAACCACCTAGTCTCCTGAAATGTGATGGTTACTTAAAACACGCTTTGGAAATCTGATCGGAAGTTTTCTCTTTCTTATTAGCTGAGAAAAAAGTGCGATTTACTGCAAAGAACTGTGCGATTTCTGAATATTTCCTACTGCTGAGAGCCAATCAAATTGCAAGGATCACCAAAAATGGCTGTTAGAAGGATTTGTAACTAAGGGGTGTGATGCGAGTTTTTTGTGTTCTGTGTGGAATACACTAAAACAACTGTTAACCTCATTGTCGGTGAAAGTGGTGGATATTTTACCTAGCTGCTTCGTGGTTAAGGTAAATATCAATCGCTATTGTTGTTTACGCAAAAGGAGTTGGGTTTGTGGACGCATGGAATTTAGAATTATTTTCATTACAAATTGCCGCATAAATCATGTGAATTCGCTTTTTATGGGATTGCTGGAGTAACGCAAGTATTTGAATGCTCAAGTTATGTTTATGCAGAACTTCTAGCTGACGATATGAAGAGGAGAGGTCAGTCAACCAGATGGATATTAAATATTTCACCTTACGTGCATTTGGATAGTGGAAAGGCAGTGTAAACCTATGACAGAAGTACAAAGTTTCTGGGGGTAGCCACGACTGGTGCGACGCTTACACTTATTTGTAGCTGATGATTAAAGAGAAATTGAGAAATTGAGAAATTTAGAAATCTACTCCTGATATAGATTGAAAAATATTCTGATCTACTCAGTTTTATTTTCTCGATATGAAGTAAAGCGTAATTCGAATTCCGCTAACAAAAACTAATTTGGGAGAGAAATGCATCCATCGAGTATTTGGAAAATTGACTAGATTTGGCAACGCTAACATCAACCATTTAATGAGTAACAGTTTTTTTAACTGGTTTCTGCTTTTTGAAAACTGAAACTATACAGTAAAGCAAGGCTTCACTGTATTTAAATTCTAGTTCACTGAGAACAAACATTGTTTAAATGAAAAGAAAAATGAACATACACTGTATCCATTTGGTTGGCAATGGAAGATCTTACAACAGATTCCTAGTCTGTGCAACAAAACTGTAACAGCATTGAATTGTATTTCAATTTTTCCAAAATGTAACACAATAGTTGAATAACAATTTCTCGCGCTATTCTCCTTTGCAGTAGTCCTGGTTCTCTATTGGTGGTCGCTAGTCATCGCGTGACAGTTTGAAAATTAATCACAAGGAACTCTACTTAGTACCAGATTTGGGTTATGTATTTATTTATTTTCCGCTAAATCGTGTCATTTCCTTCTCCTTATTTTCGTCAAATCGTTCTCCCGAAAGCGTGAAGGTGATAGAGAGAAAATTTACCTATTAGCCATTACTGGTTCAGCTGACTGACGCAGTTTGCAGGTGTAAATTTTACACTTAATGGCATTAAGGTGGAAGTCAGCCGGTTTTCAATTTCTTTTATCATTCTTCAATCAACAAATGGAAATTTTAAGAAGTTTACGTAATTTTGAACATGACTACCTCTTGCTCAAACTTAGTGATGGAGACTTAAGAGAGACAGAATTTCTTCCTTATTTTGCTTATAATTTCGATTGGTTTATCAAACATCTGATTTTCGCTTACGGGAAAATCAGTCTTGGAAAAGATAATGGTTTTGACTTCTCTTTCATTCGAGGAATATATTGACATAATTTAATCTTGCGTCATGCTTTAGATCAAAATCGGCGACGATGCTTAATATAAAACAATGCCTTGTATAAAACAAATTTGTGCTCTGATCTAGGCGCCAGACAACATGGGAGTCCATGGCAAAATGCATAACTCAAGAGCTTGCAAATATTTGCTTATCTTGATTAAAAAACTGGCGTAAATTTGTTTTTCAAGTTTTTTGGCATCTGTAGTGTTCTTCGGCATCTAAAACCATCCTCTTCTGTTTTTATTTTGTTCTTGCCTTTATAGTACTTGTTTGCCTCGAGAAAAGATTATTTTAAGATTTTGTTCTATCTTTACCACCCCGTAAAGCTTTAAAATTTCAATTTGATAAGCCTCAGTGCCAATTAGGAAATTGGCCTCGGGTAAGGTGTTGCAATCTTTCCTTTTCTACTCTAAATCCTCATCACATTCTTTTGATCGCTGTAAGAAATTTAAACAACAATTAATAAAAACATTGAACTAGCCGGAGAATTTACCTGATATTTGTGATTGACTATTCGTTAATGAATGGCCTAGTTGCCTTTGAACATCCAAGCTATCGACTCTAAACTTTGAATTTTATCAAAACTAAACGAAACTTTAACTTAGAGCAAACAGAAGACCATTTGACATCTCCTTATATGGCATGATGTAAAAACCCAATTGTAAGCTGTAAACAGCTGTGTGTAAAAGAGTCATTACATCTTGGATTTTAATACATTAATTTTTTTCCAAGCATGGGAGAAATATGGTCGTTGTGATCGCGTATCAGGCACATCGTAAACATTTCTCTAGCAACAACTGAATATTAGTGTTTGTACATTTTCAGCGCAATTTTCACGCAACCGGATATTGCAGAGTTTGCACCAAAAACGTTTTGTTCAATCCATTTTACTTCAAATTTTACTTTCTCATTTTAGCAGACATTTCAGCGCTAGCTACGCTATCGATTTCAGTCAGTCGCTCCGCTCAGCAGGCTGTTAAACGTTTTTAACCAGCAATTAAGCTAAAGTCACTAGAGCTTTTACTGCATGCCCTAGATATCTTCGTCAGCTGCCCTGTTGCTACGGCCGTCCGTTAGGTGAGATTTCGCTCGTGCTACAAAAAACTTTAGCTATGTGATAGGCTAAGCTAGTTAGCCGTTAAACTGTTTGGACAAGATATCAAAACGGTGTCCATGCCGTTATTGGTCACTCTTTGACGGTTTAAAAACGTAAAGGCACAGGCTTTCTCGGGTACGGTCACGAATTGTCGCAAATACATAATCACGGGTGAACTGAAGTGGTAATGAACTGTGATGGACACGCACGGTTAATTGGAAAAAACGGTGAGGAACATCTCCGCGATGAAATTCCCAACCGTAGCTACCAAATAGGAGGGCAGAATAAAAGCTTATATGATAATTACTCTTCGACTCAACGTGAGAGCGACAAGTTGCTAAAACCAATTATTATACATTGTAGTCACCATCTGCCGTCTCATTGGCTAAACACCAACAGTTAATTCTGGAAAAAAACGCAACCTACAGATTATTCACTAATCTGTACCAATAGATCAGTGAATAATCTGTAGGTTGCGCGAGCAATGCATGATTTCCGGTGGAGCAATGTCAAGTTCACAGACAGCGAAGTAAGAATGGCTTCTCGGTTCGCTTCATCGACCCAGCGAGAAATTGAGAAATTACTTGAAGATAAAGATTCATGAAACACTAAAAGAATGTATAATAAAACAATTATTGGATGACGTTTTTGCGATATCCGGAATAATCAAGGTTGAGGTAAGTGTTAACACTAAGTGTTATCAGTTTAACGGCTAACTAGGCTGATAACACGAAGTGAGGCTGATAACACTTACCTCAACCTTGATTATTCCGGATATCGCAAAAACGTCATCCAATAATTGTTTTATTATACATTCTTTTAGTGTTTCATGAATCTTTATCTTCAAGTAATTTCTCAATTTCTCGCTGGGTCGATGAAGCGAACCGAGAAGCCATTCTTACTTCGCTGTCTGTGAACTTGACATTGCTCCACCGGAAATCATGCATTGCTCGCGCAACCTACAGATTATTCACTGATCTATTGGTACAGATTAGTGAATAATCTGTAGGTTGCGTTTTTTTCCAGAATTAACTGTTGGTGTTTAGCCAATGAGACGGCAGATGGTGACTACAATGTATAATAATTGGTTTTAGCAACTTGTCGCTCTCA